CCTTCAAGGAGCTTACAATCTTTGGGGGAGGGAGGATAACCCCTAAAAAGAAGCTGAAAAGCAGAGGGTGGGTAAAAAGTAAGAGACTGAAGCTAGCAGGCACAGGGATATGGTGGGGTCCAGTTCAAGGAGTGCAGTTGGTGGGAAATGAAGAGGCAGTAAGAATAGAGAGTGCTAGGGGCAGCTAGGTGGCACAGTGGATAGAGCACCGGCCCTGAAGTCAGGAGTACTTGAGTTCAAATCCGGCCTCAGACCAAACACTTGACACACTTACTAGCTGTGTGACCCTGGGCAAGTCACTTAACCCCAATTGCCTAAAAAAAAAAGAAGAAGAAGAATAGAGAGTGCCCCAAAGAGAAATCCAGAATGATCAGAAAGCTTTGGTGTTAGAACCCTGGAAGTGACAGGAAGTGTCAGTGGCGTAGCAGCAACTAGAAGCACTTAGACTGGGATATCCCAGGTCCAGAAGATCTGAGGTTCCTGGCAACTTATCTTGCAATAATAGATAGGACCTTGAAGATCCTGTGCTCTGAACTGAAGGTTCAGGGGCCTTAATCCCGGGAGGTGGAGGTTAGTACAAAACCCAGGTGACCCAGGAAATGGCCAAGGAAGGTTGACTACCCCACCCAAAATTGTAGCACAGGGTAGATCCTAGCCCTGACATAAAGCCCCAATAAAGAAAACAAAACTTGAGTGATGAATAAATCAAAGAAAATATTGACCAATATGAAAAAATCATTGCAAATTGAAAAGAGAGTGACTGTAAAAACTACAGGCAGAGACTCAAAGGAAGGGGGAAAAAAACAGATTTTCCACAAGGACTATATGAATTAAAAGAAATTAGGCAAGTGCTAAAAAATAAATACATAAATAGATGAATGAATGGATAAATACATAAAAGCTCTTGAGAAAAGACGTAGTAGAAGGAGAATAAGCAGCTTAGAAAAGAAAGTAGCAAACCTAATCCAAGTAACAGACTCCTTAAAAACTAGAATAGACTGGGCAGCTAGGTGGTACAGTGGTTAGAGCATTGGCCCTGAAGTCAGGAGGACCTGAGTTCAAATCCAGCCTCAGACCAAACACATCACATTTACTACCTGTGTGACCCCAGGCAAGTCACTTAACCTCAATTGCCTAAAAATAAAAAAAAAAAGAAAGAAATTTAAAGGGGCAGCTAGGTGGTGCAGTGAATAGAGCTCTGGTCTTAGAGTCAGGAGGACCTGAGTTCAAATCCAGCCTCAGACACTTAACACTTACTAGCTGTGTGACCCTGCGCAAGTCACTTAACCCCGATTGCCTCACCAAAAAAAAACCCAACTAGAATAGACTAAACAAAAACCAATTGGTCTAAGAAGCAGCAAAAACTACTTGAACAAAAATCAAAACAGTAAAATAATAGAAGAAAATGCAAGATATTTGCTATGTAAAATAACAGATCTAGAAATAGCTTGAGACATAATTTATTAATCACTGGAATCCCTAAAGACTATGATTTATAAAACAAAGGCTGGACACTTCATTTCAAGAAGTCATTTGATGAAAACTGCCCAAATTACCAGTTAACAAAGTGAAGATAGAAAGAATCCATTGATGACTTCCTGAAATAATCCCAAAAGGAAAAGTCTGAGGAATGTCATAGCCAAAATCAGAACTCCCATATTAAAGAAAAAATACTTGAAGCATCCAAAAAAAGAAGCAGTTCAAATACGAAGAGTCTAGTTAGGAGCTCTTTGAGAGCAGAGACTGCCTTTTGCTTTTCTTTGTATGCTGAGTGCTTAGCACAGTGTTTGCCATTTAATAAATGCTTATTGACTAGGTAAGTTGCTATGGCTGAAAAATTAATTGCTTGATGGTGAAATCTCTGATATTAAGTTTTTCTGAACTGATGACCTACTAGGCTGGTTTCTGAATGACAGGGATCCATGCTACTGGGCTCATACTTAAACAGCCTTTCTAGTATGGTAGAACCTGGTAGAACTTGTGCTCTGCTGGGATAGCCTTAAAAAATTCACCATCACTTCTGTACCAGAATGATACATCAGAGAAGGACTTTAGTGTTTATTGGCTCCAAAAACAAATATGAGAAATCATTCTCAAGCCATATTTTCCTTCTGAAGGAGAATCCCAATGCCTAGATACTGCTTTTTATGTCTCAAGGCATTTGGGCTGACTTTCATCATCTTTTGAATTATATATCATCCTAAAGGACAGCAGTCTCAGTTTTTTTTTTCCTGGGATTTTAGTCTCCATAAGAATCCTGTGTTGCTGATAGCCCTGATGATTGTTGGAGAAGTGGGGTCTCTTTAAAGGTCAACTTAATGGCTTCCCTTTTCATAATGTATTTTTCTTTGTTAGGGTCATGCTGGATAAAGGATTCTTTCACTTACATGGTATGACAGCTCCTTCCAGCAGCAACCTCTCTCCCCTTCCACCCTCAGCAGCATTCTTTTGAAGTAGGGTTTTGAAGTATGGGTTGCAAAGTTTCTTCAGATGATGTCTAGTATTATGGCATGCTATTTAAATATGGACTGCCACCTCTGGCTCAGCTCTCCTCAGGTTGCAGTGGGATAAATGCTATGCATTACAATGGTAGACTAACTAACTCCCCACTATCATACATACTGAATTAGAGAAGTTTTTTGCCCCCTCTAGCACTCATCCCTTCCCTGTAGAAAGGGGTCTTCTGCCAGAATAGCTCATATTTACATATACTTTAATATCTACAGAGTGCTTTGTAGATGTTATCTTAATTTACTTCTCATCACAACCCTGTAAAGTAGAAGCTTTTGATATTTCTATTTTAGAGATAAAGAAACTGAGGTTCAGAGAATTTAAATGACTTACCCAGGTCAAATGACTTACCTATCGTATTATTTCTCCAGGGCAGTGGTTTTCAAACTTTTTGGTCTTAAGATCCTTTTATATTTTAAAAAACTACAAAGGACTCTGAAGATCTTTTGTTTATGTGAGCTATGTTTATTGGTATTTACATTATTAAAAATTAAACCAGATCAATTTTTAAAACGTTAATTAATTCAAAATAACATTCATAAACCCATTACATGTCAACATAGATAACACGTATTTGTGAAAATAGATGTATTTTACAAAATATTTATTGAGAAGTGTCTTTGTTTTACACATTTTGCAAATCTCTGTCTTTTTTACATTTAATTTTAATTCTTTCTCAATTACATATATATATTTAATTGGAGTTAAGTGACTTGCCCAGGGTCACACAGCTAGTAAGTGTCAAGTGTTTGGTCTGAGACCAGATTTGAACCCAGGTCCTCCTGACTCCAGGACCGGTGCTGTATCTACTGCCTCTCTCAATTACATGTAAAGAAAATTTTTAACATTCTTTTTGTTTAAATGGAGTTCTGTATTCTTTACTTTCCTCCCTCCCTATTCCCTTCCTTAAGGAAGTCATACAATTTGATATAGATTATACATGTGCAGTCATGCAAAACATTACCATATTAGCCATGTTACAAAGGAAAACACAGACTGAAAAAAAATAAATGAAGAGAAAGTAAAAATATAGAGTGCTTCACAAATTTTCATATCATCCTTGGGCAGGTACCATGCCAGTCTTCTCTATATCATTCCAATTGTGGTATGTATACTGCTAAAGTAAGCACCCTATAAATGGCTTAATAGAAGACTTGATTCTCATAGAAAATGGATTCTCATATTTGCTTCTGCATTCAATCCCTTGCAATTTGTTATATTGGTTGAAACATATGAAGAAAATCTGGCCTCACACATATAATATAGTTGAAAAAAGGAGGCATATTTTAATAGACAAATAACATTTTCATATTATAATGAAAATAGCTTTCACCTCCTAGACCCTCTGACAGGGTTTCAGGGTCCCAGTGGTCCACAGATCACACTTTGAGAATAGTTGCTTTTGGGATTTGTCTATGACTTGGGAGTGGGAAGTCAGCATGAAAGAAATGGAAATGTTTTGTGGCAAGTACCATGGTCCCAAAATTATTGGCAGAAATAAGTTACAACTTCAGCTACAATTTTACAAGTAGTTTGGAAACAAAAATACAAAATATCTTAACTTTGTTTCTACCCATTACCCATCAAACGCATAGACTACAACAAATACAAATTATTTACAGGTATAAGGAATACGAGAATAAAAATGCTGAACATAATTTGGTTTGAAGCACCTGTTAGAAAAATCTGAAACAAAAATTTACTACAGTCAGTGAGTGAGTGAAGGAAAGCCTTTATTATGCTTCTTGAGAGAAAAGCGGGTACAACACACTTTAGTAGCACGTGGGCACTGGTTCAGTGGTAGAATCAACTTTTAAACAGTTAGTAAGACCTATACTCCACCCATCAAGGCTACTATTGGTCTGGTTCATCTGCATTACACCCTTCCTGGACAGCCCATCGCATGTTCTTCCATGTTCTGTTAACTTCACCCATTTCATGGGTCCCATGTTCAAAAATGGAGGCTGTGTCTGCCCTTGGGGTGTGTCAGTTAATATTCAAAAAGCTTATTAAGCAAGCACAGTGGAGAAAAGCCTTTGCCCTGTCAAAGCCCCGGCCTTGAACCAGACAAGTTGCAACCGGCTTAGCAATCGGGGTTAAGTGACTTGCCCAGAGTCACAGAGCTGGTAAGTGTCAAGTGGTTGGTCTGAGGCAGGATTTGAACTCAGGTCTTCCAGACTTCAGGGCTGATGCTCTATCCACTGCGCCATCTAGCTGCCCCCTCCTGGGCTCTTTCTTAAGGAACTAGTTGTTTGCTATACTTTCTGATTGGTTGAGGGACTATCCAAAATTTCTTGGAATTTCTTATCCTGCTGTGGAAGCCTAACCCCCTAAAATCTTTCTTACAGCACCAACTTTCAGGTCCGGATGGTCACCCAGAAATGAAAACTGCTTCCATTTTTCCCATTCCACAGTGACTAGTCAATAAACATTTATTAAGGGAGTACTGTGTGCCAAGCACTGTGGGAGGGATACAAATAAGAAAAAGAAAGTCTGCCCTAAAGGGGCTTACAATCTAGTAGAAGAAACAGTACACAAAAGGAAGCTGAAAAAAGTAGGGGCTGGAGACAGGACAACCAGACAGTACCTGGTGCTAGGCCATGCTGTGGAACTGAAACTAAGCAGAGTAGTTTATGGGAAATGAAGACAGTGGACAACTTTGGGCCCTCTATGAAGAGAGGTTTGGAAAGGAGTTTATTGCTCCGCCCTCCAGTCCCCAGGCAGAGGGGAGAAGCACCTAAGGGTGCTTAAGTATCTAAGCTGAATCAATCTACATGATAATGAGATTTCTGGTAAAATCTCACCCTTTAGGACAAGGGCTTTTCTTCTGGAATGTATATACTGGGCTGTTCAGCCACAAACTGGTTTTCAATGATATAGCATCCCTTGTAGCTTTGCAGAATCCTGGCTTGGAAATATGCTTTGTCCTTCTTATGCCATATGTCTGACTCAATGTATATGTTGAATGGATCATGGGAATGCTCCAGTTTTTTGGAGCGGATATAGCTCAGCATGATGCCCAAGGTGAAGAAGCCAAAGAAACCAAGCACTATGAGGATGTACAGGGCTTCCAACTCAGCACCAGCATTGTGAGCTATAGCACTTGAGGAATGGTTGCCTCTTTGGACGTATTCTTCTAATGGCTCAGAAAGCAAGGGGTATGAGGCAGTACTGTTAGACAGGGCAGTCATTGTTTTCAGTGCCTGATGATTTTCTTCCCTAGTGATTTCTAAAAAAAAAAAAAAGTAAAATGATAAAATTAATTTTTATCCAAAGTTTCATATGATGTGGATTCTTTTGCTATTGACACTATGTAACAGAATGATAGATTTTAAATGTTGTTTGTTTTTTCTTCTTCCTTCTCTGCCTCTGCATATCTCTGACAACCTTCTGTGGGCCTAGAGAAGATATGCAGAGAACCTTCTCATGGTTGTCTCTCCTAGCATAATTTCACAAAACTGCAAAATCTCATTTGGAAGATCTCATTAGTCATCTAGTCCAACCCACATGTGGACCAGAATCCCATCTATAACGTCCCTAGCAAGGGGTCTGTTGGCTTCTACTTCAAGAGGAACTCTACCTCCTGAGGCACCCCCTTCTGTTTTTAGACTGCTCAGTTGTTGGGAGGTTTTTCCAGACATCAAGACTAAATCTGTGTCTCTGAAGTTTCCATCTCTTGCTCCTTGTTTTGCCTACTTGGGCCAAGCAGAATAAGTCCAATACTTATTTAATAAAGGCCTCAAATAATTGAAGACAGGTGTCTTTCCCTCCCCTGACTCTGAAGCAGGATAAAGAATTGTTGGCTATGCCAGAAGTGTTGTGCAGATGCCTTGATGTTCTTGGAGCTGCTCCTACTCAGCACCACCACCTCATATCAGGAGAAGGAATATGTGACTACCCTGACATGTCATCATCTATGCTCTAGCTCTGATGTTGGTGCTGCTCTGATTCATCATCACCACTCTATAATAGGAGACTTACCGTAAACTTCAAAGATGTGGCATCATCCACCGCATGGACCAGACTGTGAGACTTTGAGACTGAGTTTTTCTGAAGGAGGAAAGGCTTAGGACTTCTGGCTTTTGTATTCTACATTTTTTTTTGTTATTGTGTTTTGTTTGTTCCCTTCCCCCCCCTCCCCCCATAGGACCCATTCTAGAAGGGCTGTCCCATAAAAGACTTTATACTTACTTGGTCCTTCCAAAGCAAGGAGGGAAGGCCCAGACTTTACATTTTTGTTTTATTTGGTTTTTTTCTCTTTCCCCCCCCTTAGTACTTAGCCTTAAAAGGCCCAGGTCTCCTACTACACCCAGGGCCATCTCCAGTCATCCTGATTTATATTTCACCACTGGAACCAAACGACTTGAGAGGAGAAAGTGAGGTTGGTGACTTTGCACACCTTCCCTCACTTAAATCCAATTCACTTGAATGTCATGACATCACTTCCCTGATGTCATGTTGCTTTTTGAAAATAAAGGACATACAACAACAACAACAACAATAACCCTTAGTACTACTAGAAACACTACTAATTTAAATGGTGAAAATATCTTCTAGAAGATCCTTAGGATCTTGCCACCAAGGGATGGTATATAATAGTAGCAATGGTCTCCTGATACAGTTTCTCTGACCCTGTTACATCTTCCTCCTCCCTACTCCCATAACATGATTGGCTCCAGTTTCCCTGATGCAGCTTTCTGGTCTAGGGGTAATAAAAGGTCCCAAATACACATAGTCTGTCCCTTTCAGACTCAGCAGGTGACTAAGACCATGTGAGTCACAAATCCTGACCAACTGACCAGATACATTTCTAGATGGAGACAAAGTGGGGCTGTATCAGGAAACTGCTGATCTTATGGCACTTGATCAGATTTGCACTTCAGGGAGATCAGTTTGAGTTGGAGTTTATTGAAGTCACATATTGCTTGTATCTATGTCTCATTGCCAGTATTTCTTTAAGTTTATTTTGTTAATGTTACATTGCCAATATTACTTTAATTCTCCCCATGGATGTGGTGTGTATTTGTGAGACAGTGTATCTTAGGTTTGTGGTCTGTGTGTGTATGTGTGTATGATGTTTTGTACCTATTGTTTTCACTATGCTATCTTACTAAATTCTTTATTTTGCATTAATAATGATTATTAAAAGAAAGCTCACCAGTGAGGGTTTGTGAACTATGCTTTTAGGAATGGGGACCTACAAAGTATCCTTTAAGCCTGATAGTAACTGTCCTTTGGGGAGATAGATCAGAGGATGTACTACACTTTTAATGCTGCCTAAGATCACATTTGGGCAGCTAGGTGGCACAGTGGATAGAGCACTGAGTTTGGAATCAGGAAGACTCATCTTTCTGAGTTCAAATGAGGCCTTAGTAGCTGCATGATATTGGGCAAGTCACTTAGCCCTGTTTGCTTCAGTTCCTCATCTATAAAAATAAGCTGGAGTAGGAAACAGCAAACAGTCCAACACCTTTGCCAAGAAAACCCCTAAAGTAGGTCACGACTGAAATGAACAAACAGCAAGATCACATTAGCTGCTATATCACAATATGGACTTCTACTGAACTTGTCCTCCACTAAAGCCCCAGATTCATTTCTTTCCCCATATGAATCACTATCTACCTACAGCTTCCTCATCTTGTCCTTAAAAGGTTCAAGGACGTCTTTTTTTTTACATTGTAAAGTTTTACAATGATCCTTTTAAAATTTCATCTGATTAGATTTGACTCAATGTAATGTTCTAGTCAATCCAAACCTTTCTGTTTTTCAGCTTAATGACTATTCCTTATAGTTTTGTGCCTTCCTCCATACTGATTTGTATTAGCCTCTTGAACTAGGATGAGTTGTCTTGGATGAATATTCTGCTCTTGAAGACACAAGAGAGTTAGACAGTGTTTTAAAAATTGGATTTCAACCCCTTAAATTGATTTGACTTTATTTCAATCATTTGTTAGCGTCCTCTCTGCATTAAGTCCTATGCTAAGCAAAATAGTGTTTCTGTGCTGATTCATTTGAAAATGAATTTAGCTTTATTCCCCAATAGTCAGTATGGTGTAAACGGCATGTGGTCCCAATTTGGATATGATTTATGAATTTAAATTACCTTAGAAATACTACAGTACTTCAAAGATTTGTAATGTCATGGGTATTCACTACAGGTGCAGATCTAAGCTCATCTATAAATTATCAGATGGAATTCAAGACTTGTGACCAAAACATTCAATCACCTTTTAAACCAACTCATAATGAACTTCTCTGAACTTGGACTTGTCCTTGGACAAGTGCATATACCCAATTACTGCCCCATACTTGAAACTTTTCTAGTTTGGCAGTACCTAGTGAAGCTTGCCAGCTGTTAGGCTACCCTAGCCATTTAGACCCCAGGGTAACTTCCATGCCACAACAAGCATTAACATATGGTTTTAAATGGAGGCAACTGAGAAATAGTTTCCTAGAATTTCCCTACCATTTCCTGCTGCCTCATCTCTAAAATCACTTTGCCCTTAATAATCCCTCCAAATACTTCCTCGTCTTTACTGGATGTTCCATGAGCAGCTCAAACTCAAAGTATCTAGAACAGAAGTCATTTTTTCCTAGTTCCCCATTTCTGTTGAGTCCCCATCATTCTTGTAGTTACCCAGGTTTGCAATCTTAGAGTCACACTCAACATTTCCCTTTCTCTCATTTCATCTTCCTCATATTCAAACAACTGCCTGTTTTCATCAATCTTACTTCCAAATCTAACTGGTAACTCTTCCCTTCTCTCCACTACCTCTAGTTCAGAATCCCATCACCTCTCACCTGGGCTATGGTAATGGCCTTCTAACTAGTCTCCTTGCCTCTGACCTTTCTACCTCTCCAATCCATCCACCACATAGCTGTCAAATTCTAAAACATAGATCTCACTATTTCACTCTGTGGCTCAAGAAGCTCCAAGTTCTCCAAGAGAAACTCTCTCTTGTTTCTGGGATAGAACTCCTCTGCTTGGCCTTTAAGCCCTTTCCAACCTGGCTCCAGCCTACCTTTCCAGGTTTATTGCACATCACTCTCTTACATGCATTCTATATTCCTGACAAACTGGTATGCTGGTCCTTCTTTCCTGTCATTCAATTTCCTACCTTTTTTTGTTAAATTGATAATTTGCTAAACCTCTCAACAAGCAGAACTTTAAATTGAGGCTAGGTGATTGCTTCCAATCTGTTTACCACTTTAGAGCATACAGCCCCACCTAAAGGCAAAGGGGAATGACAGAGAGGGGTGTGTTGTGGAAACATACTCTCTACTCCTTTCCAGAAGTAAGAGGGAACAAAATGGAGCAAGTACCAATTAGCCAGCTTTATCCTCCATAGTACTTCTACACACACACACACACAGAGATAGAGAGAAAGAGAGAGGCGCATGCATGCATGCATACATTCTTTCTTTTGTTGCTCTAGTATTTTAAATAGAGGCAGTATATGCCATACAGTTCCTTTAGTTACTTTAAAAATGATGAAAATCAATCCTATATATAGTGATACCAGACAACTAGTTTGACCTGCTGCAAGTGATAGAATGCCTAAACAACTAAGCAACGGCCTGAAGTAGACAGGAAATTTTGTGTGAAACTCAGAATTTCCAGTCACCCCCAGGAAGAGGAAGAAAATGGTATGAACTTTGGAGAATTTAAATAAGTTGCTCCCCAAAGCCAACACCCTGTACTAAATGTTCCCCTATTACTCTCACACTAACTTAATTATCTGCACTGATAACAGACTAAAAGCTTTTAGAGCAAACATTCTGCCAGACTGGCACCTTGCTTCCTATCTTAGAATTGATTCTAAGCTTCCTTCCACAGTGGAGGATCTAGTGGAAAGGGAACTGGGCTGAGAGCCAGCAGATCTGAATTCCAAGTCTAGCTAGTCATTGATAAATTGCATGACCTGAGGGAAGCCTTAGCTTTTTGGTATCTCAGCTTACTTATGAGTACAAAGGGGATAATAAATACTATTATTACACTCACTAGCACCACTTATATGGTATATTGGAAAGAACATTGTGTTTGGAGAATAATAGTGGAGAGACATTAAGAAATTGAACAAAGAGGTGAATAAAAGTAATACCTATATATAGAAAAGATTCAAGAAAGAGGCAGAAGAGAAAAGACAGAAGGAAGTAGTAGTTTGGTTGAGAATCTTACCCCCTATATAAAAGATAAAGGTCTTCTTGTTTCAAAATCACATTTGGCTC